CGTCCTTTATCCACCAATGTTGTAACCCCAAACATCATTGATGTTGTTATCATCAACATTAGGTCAGGCTGCTCAGGACCTTGGTCAGTTGAGCTTTAAATAGCTCTAGAATACCACCTTAAAGTGGAATAGAAAATATATAGGTCTGGTACCTACGGTTTTGTCATACTTAATGGTTAGGATGACATTTCTCAGTCCTGTACCTTTACTTGGGTAAAATTTCAAGTTACCTTCATTTCGTATTTTCTGTTGTTTTGGATGGAAGGCTGGTTTGGGAAAGAGTAACTGGTTTAAAGTATGAATACAAAATGTGGTGATGGCAGTTAAGTTGCATTGCCTTTAGCAGAAGGTTAGATATGTATACTTCTGCTTATTTAGCCAAGTAGTACCTGTCAGTGAGACCCTTTAGGATGTAGCCAAGGCTTTGTGTACTATTGTTGTTTAAGAGTAAAATCTTGAAAGGTTTTACAGACCTTGTAAACAAACACCAGTTTTCAAAGAAGTCTTAACTGTTTATTCTCAAACTCTGTCTTGAGACCCAAGCTGAGGTTAAGTACTTCTCTTTGTTGCTTCTGTGGGGGCCTTGAATATAAGTAGTGTTGGCTGGTACTGGAAATTCATGATGTATTAAATGACATCCTTGAATTGTGATGCAAACTACTTGCAAGGCATGGAAGCAGAACTAGTTATCTAATAGTACACAGGTATCGTTTCAAACAGTGAAGAGTGAGAGAACCAAGGCAGTCTTAACAGTCAGTTTTAGCTGTTACAGTTAAATGTAGGACTTAATTACAGCCTTGGAAAGGCAGGGGAATGTTGCAGTGAAAACAATGAACAGCTCAAGAATGGAAAAAAATACTTTATCCAGCTGAAAATAAAGGGAGGACAATGTAATTATCTAGTAGGAAGGATCACTGTAGCTGTAAGAGCGATTATATAATTAGCATGTGGGCTGGAACACTCACCATCATTAAAAGGAGCTTAGAGATTGTTCTTTGTTCAGTTTCTAAGTGCAAGAAACTTTTTTTTTTTTTTTAATCTTAGGCTGCCTTTGTATTTTGTTGTTCCCATATGTGTTTCTGAAGAGAGTATCTTGAAGTACGAAGGCAGAGGCA